TCCCTGTAAGAGGTAAATTTTCTAACTTTGATATTTTGATTTAAGCATCATTTGTGCATACTTTGAAAAGCAAAAATGTAGACATCATGCCACTGATTCTAACAATGTAAATAACTTGCACTAATTTTGTCTGTGGAGTGAGAATCAAAACTTTTAAGTTTTAGGGTTTTATTTTGGTACTGACAAAATTCTCATTAATCTTTGATTTATAGCTTAAATAAATTATATCTTTGTATTCCTTGTAAAATTTTAGACAAGTTTGGTTTTTACAATTCTCAATTTGGTTGAGAAATGGAGGATTTACAAGATTAACAATGGTGTTGCTGTTGTTCTGTGCGCGCGAGGAAGAAGAAGAAGATGAATTCAAATTTTCTAGATTTGGTTTATGATATGTTTATTGGTAACTATTTCATGAACGAATGAAACAACCATCCCAGTGACAAGTGCGCGCGTCCTAAGGCATTACTAACCTAAAGGGCGAGGGTTTGAACTAATGTGAATCCCCTTTTTGTATTTTTCCATATTTTCTGTTTCAGGACCTAGTATAAGCAAACCAGGCGCGTGCATGGTGCACCTCTTCTCCTCAGCCCTCTGATCTCATCATCAACAGATCCAGCGGTCCAACACACGCTCCCTACGATGGACCTTCAGCCAGCCTCTCCCACTGGATCACCAACAGGCGCTGGGCTCCTTTGACTTTGGGCCTAACATTTTTCTGATTTCTCACTCCCTAGCCCATTTATTTCTATTTATCATTTTTTTATTTAATTGTTTTCTTTTAATCTTTTTTATTTATTTAATCAAAAAATCATAAAAAATATAGACTTAGATTTTTATTTAATTAAATTAATTTTTGATATAAAACTTAATTTATTTTCATCAACCTTTGTTTTATTTTTTTTAATTAATTGGTAAAAATAATTAGAACTAGATTTTATTTTTATTATTTCTTTTCACACATGAAATATTTTCCTAAATAAAACTCCAAAAACTTTTTTTTCTAAAATATTTAGAGTATCTTAGGTTTTATTAATTAATTTATTTTTATAATAAAAATAATTAATTTAATTATACTTCTTTTATTTTGTAAATAAAAATAGAATTAGGGTTTAATTTCTAATTACTTTTCATTTCAAACTTCAAATACTCTTTTCTCAAACAAAAACATTTCTCTTTCAAAATACCTAAAAAAATTTTAGGGTTTATCATTTTACCCCTTTTCCCCATCTTTGTACATTATTTACTTTTTTACAGTACTTTACATTTATGCAATTATTTCTCAATTTGTAATAGTACTTTAAGGTTTATTGCTTTCATCCCACATTCATAAACTTGTACCCCCATCCCCTAAAGCGTTGTAATAGCGTATGACATTTAATTTATGCAATTTACTACTTTCCATTATTGCTAGTAATTAGAGTTTGTATGGCAAGATAAAATCAATCTTAGAAAACCCCTAATCTCAAGACAAAATTGCATGCAATCAAAAAACACTTTTCACACATGTACCTCTAGGGTATACCCCACTTGTTGCCTTCAAATAAACAGTCATGTCCCTCGAATGTGGGATACTTTAGCAAATACCCTTCAATCAAAATATCACATTCCCTCAGATGACCCTTCAACATTGTCTTCGGTAAATGATCTTAGTCCCTTGCGACAATTGCTAAAGTATATTACAAAGTTGCCTTCTATGACTGTACGATGACCCACACTTGTCCCTTCACATTCAATGATAGGGCTCCCTACTAACTAATGGTAGAGTAGCACTATCTAAAGGAGGAGGAAAAGAACAAAGACTTTTTGAGTAGGTAAATTGCTCATAATTGCTTGCTCAAAAAACTACAAATAACTTTCCACACTCCACACTTTCAAAACATCTTCAAAACAAGCATTTTATATACATTCTCAATGATACGAGAGTCATTACAAAATTGCCTTCCATTGGCACTTTCAAAACAATTTCAAAACTACACTCTCTTTCAAAATATTTTCAAAACCAACACTTTGTATACATTCTCAATGATACGAGAATCATTACAAAGTTTACCGTACGAAGGCATTTTCAAAATATTTTCAAACACACACAAGTACAAAAACATTTTTAAAGTGATCAAGCAATTAAGAGCCCATAGATAACTACAAATGAAAAGGGTGCTAACACTTTCCCTTTTCATAACCTACCCCCCGAACTCAAGAAAAATCTCAAAAGGTCTTTCCTGTTCTTTTCACCTTTCCTTTATTGGATAAAAGAAAAATCGGTGGTGACTCTTGCTATCCGTAACATTTGCGATAAGACGTAAAATGTAAAACCCTAAAGTCAGTTCTCCCACCGTATTACACCCATTTATCTTCTGATACATTGTGATTGATTGATTGGTCATTGTTACTTGCCAATCACTTATGATATTTTAAGCAAAAATTAGATTGTGTGTCATGTTATTATTCTCAGTTAAAAGCTTTTAAGAAAATCTGAGTATTGTAATTGAGTGTGTGTTCTTCTATTTTTTGTTATTATTACTGAGATGAGTGTGGGAAGTGAAATGGGGATCTCATATCTAGAAGGTTTCTAGGTAGAAGTAACACAAGGTAGTGATTAGGACAAAAGTTGTAAACCAGGGTTGTTTAAATTTAAACTAATACTATCATAGTGGATTTTCCTTCCTGGGTTAGATGCCTCCAGAGTAGGTGAGTTGCACTGAACTGGGTTAACAATTGACTGTGTCTTTTACCTTCTGTAATTTACTTCTGCATGATTTATTATTTTGGTAAAATTTTTTCTGTCAGCGGATGATGTCTTAACATCTGCCTTGACATTGTGATTTCGTGTTGGGACATCAGTCTTGACATCTGTTTTAAAGTTCCAGAATTTCACTTACTTTTTATCACTTGCTACTTAAAAACATACATGTATATTTGCATGTGACACACAGATTTTAAAGCAATTGTTGGACATTGGGGACAACTTCAGTTGAGGAAGATAAGGTGGAAAGTGGATTTTCCTATAAAACAACAAATGAGTATCTTCTCGAAACTTCGGTTGAAGAAAGTTAAACAATGCAATGCATCCCTTACCTTAAAACCGAGGGTGATGTATTTATTCTATTTCTTTGGTACATAGGGATTAGGAGTCAATTTCTTTGTTTTCTTCTTTTTCTTTTCAACTACTTGAGAATCAAAAGCATCAGAACAAGATTTTTTCTGTTACTTGGTCGACCAAGTGTTCGTGGGACTTAACAAGGAACATATGAGGGTTGTACCTAGGAACAACTCTTGAAAGTTGTATCAGGTAAAAAATACATAGGTCTTTCCATATTTATTTCTTCTTTTGTTGAACCATATTCAACCACTGGATATATGAAGAGTCGTCATCAATCAACGAAGATGACCAATATACGCGGTTCTTCATGAAGCTAAAATTAAAATGGGCGTCACGGAAAACTAGGGATTCACATGAAGGGAAGTTGGGGAAGAAATGTTTCAGAGCATAGGGTATGTTAACATGCCTAGGAAGAGGATCCGTGAAAGCGAAAGTGGTATCTGAAGTGGAGTGAGGAAACAATGCTTAAGAATACGAGACTTTTCTTTTCCCATCTTCATGGGAGGCTTCGGGACATAGAGGCGATCATCTATAAGAAAGGGCCCTTCCATGTTGGCAAAAAAAGGAGCATGTGAAGCAGGCGTGCATACACATTTATGAGCCATTGTTGATTCTCAAAAGTTTTTTGGGAAGGAAATATGTGGAAAAAGATAACAAAAGTCGTAGAAGCTCTCTCGGGGTTTTCTTTCTTTTTCGGAGAAGGAAATGGTGAAAGAGAAGTTAATGAAGAAGTGGTAAAATAGCCAAAAGAAAAGAAAAGAGTATGTTTCAATTTTTCCTCAAAATTTTGGACAAGATGCACGTTTAAACCAACAAATGGCGAAAAGAAGAAATATTGAAATTAAATAACTTAATTTTAATTTTATTTAAGTTTGTGGTTCATTAATCTTCTAGGAAATTGGAGATGATGATTACCATCTGCACGCACGTATGTGACGTGACAATTTGGTTAAAAAAATGGTCATGATGCTATAAAGGTATCTAACTGATGTGACGTGTACATGATAAGAAAGTATTAAAATTAATTTTACACTCTCAACCAATCACAACTTTGTATCAGAATAAATCATATTTTAATTTTAATTTTTTTTAATGACAAAACAGTTTGTTGATTTTCTATTGGATGATAGTATAAAATAATTGGCTTAAATGCAACTTTAGTCTCCCTATTTTGTATATTTTTTCCCAATTTTGGTCTCCTCGTTTCAAAAACCGGTTCACACAGTCCTTTTATTTTGTTTTTATGAGAAATAATTTCCATATGACACATGACACATATGCAATGGAACTGCCACGTCATTAAAACACACACTCAGGGGCTATAAAAATAGATATTTCTATTGAATGATAGTATAAAATAATTTTACACTGTCAGTATATATAAAAGTATTTCAAAAAATATATAATTAAATAAGAAAATAATTAAAAAAAAAAGTGGAAAACGATCAAAATGATTTACTTCTTAATTTAGTTTTCTCTTGATTGTATTAAGGAAGTCTTATATAAAAATATTAAAATTGTTTCTAAGCTGAATTTATTCTTAACTCTTAATTAAGTTTTCGATTGATAGGAAAGTATTAAAATTATTTATTTCTTACTTTATTTCAATGAATTATTTTTCTGGATACTTCTCAATTAAGTTAACAAATACTAATGTTTTATAATATATTTAAACGTTATTTCTTAAAATTAAGATTCCTGTTGATTATATTAAAGAAAATATTAACAGCTGCACCACACATTTCCTGTGGGATCCGATGGTTTTGTAGCCTGAGTCTCGCCGTACCTTGAGACGATCTGCAACCACCAGCGATTTTACCATTGATAACTCCTTGCGCAGCGATTGCTTCTCAATTACTTGTCACTGATTGTTCTAATCAAGAAATCTCCTTGCGCTGAGATGGAAAAATCCACAACTGTGACAAGTGAAAAGAAGATTAGTAGTAACTGCATCAATGATGATCTTTCATTTAACATTCTCTCCAAATTGCCCTTAAAATCTTTGAAGCGATTTGGCTGTGTTTGTAAATCATGGGCACCTTTATTTGAAAACCCTCATTTTATGAGTACCTTCCGCTCACATTTCATATCTAATCATCAATCTTTATATAATGATACATCTCTCCTGTTACAAGTTACTGGTAGAGAGTTTCATATATTGTCCGATGATAATGAACTTGAAAACACTGTCAATCTACCCAATCCATTTCAACAGGAGGATCTATTTTTTAACATTTTAGGTTCCGGTAGTATTACCGGAATTCTTTGTCTCCACCGACACCAAGGTGGACCAATTGTATTTTGGAATCCTTCCGTCCAAGAATTTAAAGTCATTCCTCCAAGTCCGGGTGAATCTGTACCACGTTACCAATTGTTTTTGACTGTGATTAATGGATTTGGATATAACCATGTTAGAGATGATTATAAGTTAATTAAGCATCTATTTTACTATTCCCCAAGCAGTCGAGATTGTGAAGATCTTGGCCTACATGATGTGCCATGGAAAGAAGTATTAGATTGTGAATCTTTATGGGAGATATATAGTCTTAGAACTAACTCTTGGAAAAAACTTGAAGGTATATCATATAACTTTAGTGCACACAGTAGTCTTTGCGGCCAGCTGTTGTTTTTGGATGGAAAGTGCCATTGGTGGCATTATGTTTTTCTTTACTAGCTTTGGAATCATTTGACTTGATCAGTGAGGTGTTATGTACTACACTCGTACCATTAGATATACATTTTGTGGCTGGCGCACCACATTTGGTGGAGTTAAGTGGTTCTATTGCTCTGATCTCTTGGACTTATAGTAGTGCACCTACTTTTGATATATCAATTTTAGCTGAAATTGGTGTAAAAGAATCATGGATTAAACTTTTTAATGTTGGACCATTATCCTGCATCGATAAACCTGTAGGGTCAGGTAAGAATGCTGATATATTTTTTATTCAAGAAGATGGTGAAATAGTTTGTTTAAATTTGAGTACCCAAATAATTGAGGAGCTTGATGTTAAAGGAGACCATTATAGACAAGTTGGTCAGGTATTGATGTATAAGGAAAACTTTCTTTCAATTGAAAGGATAAACCATTAGGTTGATTTTTATCCAAGAGATTTATGGTTATGGTTATTATTAAAATTTTACTATCTTTAATTTGTGTTTGTGGTGGTGGAATGGATCTTTTGACTTCAATGTACAAGAACTTCCTATTTGATATTAAAATAATCATTTTTATATTTAAGTGTATTACGTTTTCCTCAAAATATTTATATTTGTTTAACTGTGTGCTTTTAATCTTTAATCCTCCAAATCAATTAATTAGATGTTATGAAGCACTCCTATGTCATTTTAGTATAGAGAAATGATCATATGACACATAATTATACATCTACAACCCATACTTTATACAATGAATATATACTCATCATTTTTTTAATAATTTATATTTCATTTTGGTATTCGTATATACGGTGTAGTGTACATTGCATACATGTGTAGTATCGTGTCTTATAGCACAACTTTTTAGTATATATATATATATATATATATATATATATATATATATATATATATGTACTTGGCATATGTTTTTTCTCTGCAGTTGTCAAATAAGATCAGTAAACATTTTTTGATATGCTTCTTGTTGATGTTTCTCCAATTTTGCTTCGTTATTTTCTTTGTTATTTGGTGAGTTATCTTGCACTGTGTCAAGCTTTATGTGCAAATGTTCAGAACTTGAGTTTGAGTAGTGTTAATTTTGCAAGAAAAAGTTCCAAGATGTAGAAAATAGAGCAAAATTACTATCAGTAATGGTTGCTAATATTTTGCTTCTAGGTTAGTACACAACATCTAGTAGTATACCATTATGAGTTTTTACAACACCCATAGTAGCTTTATGTTCTAAACACCATCATCACCAACTTGAAGTATGATATGGTGATTATCAATGCATTTGATAGTAGAATTCACAGTCAGAGGTATTCAGAAGAACTTTTTTGGAGACCATGATCATCTATTACAATTACTATTAGATGTTATAGCATTAGTAGGAAAGATTGCGACCAATCTCAAGTATTACAGAGTGAATCTATTTTTGGAGATAGCATCAAATTGCATGACAGGAAAGGTTACTTCTTAAGTTGGATGTTGTTAAACAAATAATTTCAAATTAGAATAGAAAACAAGTCTTTTTGTTTAGAAAATTAGGAATGTTTCAGCTAAATGAATTATGCTATTGGCAAATTCAAGTCTTCAAATGGGGCGGGAACAGAGAATAATAGAAAATGAGTGCAAGGAAAGCAATTGCAGGGCCTTCGTTAATAACATAGATGAAATTTAAGAACTATAAATATTTGAACGTATCATTTTAACATAGATGTGTTATGGTGCGGTTGCAAAGAGTTTGTTCCATTTTGTTGATGGCTTGAGTTCGAACTGCATTGCTTGCAAAAGAAGTTTTTGTTGAAGACTTTTAGGTTTCATAAATTATTGACACTTTTTGGTGATTCTTTATTGATTATTTTTATCGAGAAGTTGGTAAACATAACTGGTGTGATTAATAATATTAAAAAAACACTCATGAAACTTGTTCATTATGTTGCCCACACAAAGATCAGAAGAAATTGAGTTTGTTTACTTTCACCCTAATTTGTTGCACAAATAATTGGTTGAATGCCTTGCCAAGTGGAACTTTCTACACATAGGATGTGTTGAAAGAAAAGTTCTTGAATTGGTTCTATCCATTTAGCAAGTACATGGATAAAATTGACGATATAAAATTTCAAATGATGTGATGAATCTCTCTATGAAGCATGAGAAATGTTCAAATTGATGTTGAAAAGATGTACATCACATGATTTGGACTATGCGACACAAGGACAATACTTTACACGTTGTTGAAGAAGTAACACTCGAGTGCTCATGGATTCCTTAGATAGAGGAACTATAAGGAAAAAAATCGAAAACGAGGTTGTAAAGGAACTCATATAGAACATGGCCCATAATGAATATTGTGCTCTAATTGATAGAGGTGCCAGAAGGAGAGGAGCATTAACTCATGATACTCAAAGTGAATTTTTAGCCAATAACAAGCAAATGAAAGCTCTTATTGACATCCTGACAAAATAAATTTCATATGTCACTAGAGAACCTTAATTAGTTCAATAGACTCAAACTCTCAAATGTGATCTTGTGGTTCTACATGACATATGGAGGGATATAGGCTCATCTTGGACAAGCAATGAGATATGACAAACCATCCTCAATAAGAAAATAAATACCTCTACTTAAAACATCACTAGTAAGACAAAAGAGATTAGGTGAAAAAGGATCGCCATGTGTGACTCCTTTCTTACAAGAAAAGAATCTCGCAACCTTAGATTGACATATATAAACAGTCTTACATTGACATATAAGAAATGAATCTAATGCCAGAACTTAGGCTCAAAACTAAAATAGTAAAGGATTTCATGAAAAAAATAATCCAGGCTAATGCATCAAAATCCTTATAAATATATCGTTAATTTCAAAGGATTTCTTAAATGATAAAATAATGGATTAAAAAATTAATCAAATGCATTCATAAATTTATCTCATTATCATTACATTTGATGATGATTCTTGAGTTAAGTTATAGAATCACGAGTTAACTTGCATACAGAATTATTTTTTTTCTTCTGAAATCTGATAAACCCGTGCATTTGAGGACGATTAAACAAGTCTACACAATATACTGGTTATTTCCTAATTCTGAATGGCATAAACAGTTAAACTAAAATTTCACCCTACATTATTTCAATATCCCTTTTCAGACAAAAACTTTCAATAGATCAATTAAATAATAATGTTAACAATAATGATTTAGAGAAGGCCAAATGGGTTCTAAACAAAGCTTCCCTGACTACTTTAGTGGTCGAATTTACGTGCAGTCATATATAGAAGTTTTGCATTACATAATTGACTCAACTCGTTTTTTAGTTTTCTTGCAATGAACATTTTTCTGTTGTGTTGTGTGCATTAAGAAAGGGCTCCTTGCATTATAAATAATTCTAATGACTTAGTTGTTTTCAGTAAAGATTAAAGTCTGCGTCTATTTTATGTTCTCACATAAGGTGATAATAACCAAGATCGGCGTTATGCTATATGAATTTGAGCAAAATGGTTTATTGCTTAATAAAGACAAGATGTAAAAAATAGAGGCAGAGTGCATGGAGACCATTTACATATGCAAGGATAGCAGAAAATATTCATTCTGTGCTGTCACTGAACATATATATCATCATCATCATTTGAGAGGTGTAAACAATTAGGAACTGGAAACCATGCATGGTGAAGAATGTCACCCTTACGTGTCCCTCCTCCATCCCTATAAATAACCATACCCAGGTTCTTGGCTTCATCAATCTCGTTAGTAATCACAATGGCCAAACACTTTCTATTTTCCTTCTGCTGGCTGCTCTTCACGACGGCGTGTTTAGCACATCACTCTGAATTAGACAGGTTCAACAAATGCCAGCTTGACAGTATCAATGCATTGGAACCAGATCACCGTGTTGAGTCACAAGCTGGTCTCACTGAAACATGGAACCCCAATCACCCTGAGTTACAATGTGCTGGTGTATCTCTTATCCGACGCACCATTGATCCTAATGGCCTTCACTTGCCTTCCTATTCACCATCTCCACAGCTGATTTTCATCATCCAAGGTTATTATATAATCAAATATTCATTATTTGCATTCACTGAATTGTTTTTTAACTAGTTCATGTTTTTTCTTCTATATAGGGAAGGGAGTACTTGGCCTTGCAGTTCCTGGTTGTCCTGAAACTTACGAAGAACCACGCTCACAATCTAGACAGCAGCAACAACAACGTGACAGCCACCAGAAGATTCGGCGCTTCTCTAAAGGTGATGTCATTGCCATTCCACCTGGAATTCCTTACTGGACCTATAACTATGGTGATGAACCTCTTGTTGCAATTAGTCTTCTCGACACTTCCAACACTCTAAACCAGCTCGATTCAACCCCCAGAGTAAGTAATTGTATAACTATACGTTACATTATCCAAATTTTGATATACTTTTCTAACGTGTAATATTTTCTATTCAATTAATCACATGTAAGTATGTGTTTGCAGGTATTTTACCTTGGCGGAAACCTTCCAGAGGCAGAGTTCCCCGAAACACAGGAACAACATCGACAAAGGCACAGTTCCCCTATTGGACGTAGAGGTGGACAGCAACAACAAGAGGAGGAATCCGAGGAACAAAACAAAGGGAAGAGCGTGTTGAGTGGCTTCAGCGCAGAGTTTTTAGCACATTCACTCGACACCAAGGAGAAAACAGCCAAGAAACTTCAATCTCCACGGGACCAAAGGGGTCAAATCGTAAAAGTAGAGAAGGGTCTTCACATTATCAGTTCTGAGTTGCAAGAAGAAGAACAGCAAGAAGAGGAAGAAGAACGAGAACAAAGACACCGCAAAGATAGTGAAAGAGAAGACGAGGATGAGGATGAGAAAGAAGAACAAGAACAAAGACAAACCAAACATAGCAAAAAAGAAGAGGAGGATGAGGATGAACCTCGCAGCCATGAGAGTCGAAAGTGGAAAAAACACACCGAAGAGAAGAAACGAGAATCACACGGACGAGGAGGAGAAAAACAAGAGCAAGAAAAGAAAGAGGAGGAAGAGGAAGAAATACAACGTCAACACAGCAAAGGAGGAAAGAATGGTTTGGAAGAAACTATTTGCAGTTCAAAGATTCGTGAAAACATCGCTCGCCCTTCACGTGCTGATCTCTACAACCCGCGTGTTGGTCGCATCAGCACTGTCAACAGTTTAACCCTCCCAATCCTCCGCAAATTACGCCTCAGTGCAGAATATGTTCTTCTCTACCGGGTATGCATAGTACTAATTATTTAACCAAGGTATATATTTCCATAATATGATTAATTTTTATATTTCGATGTATGTATGTACATATAGAATGGTATATATGCTCCACACTGGAACAATAACGCAAACAGCCTCTTGTACGTGATTAGAGGACAAGGAAGAGTTAGAATAGTGAACAGTCAAGGAAATCCAGTGTTCGAC